ACACAACATCTTCTTTATCCATTCATCCACCGACGAACATTTGGGCTCTTTCCATACTTTGGCTATTGTCGATAGTGCTGCTATAAACATGGTGGTGCATGTGTCCCTTCAAAACAGCACATCTGTATCCCGTGGATAAATACCTAGTAGTGCACTTGCTGGGTCGTAGGGTGGAAGACACTTTTTATCAAGTTAAAGAAGTTCCCGTTCTATTTCTGATTTGCTAGAAGCTTCCTTTTTTTAAAAATCAGGAATGGAGATGATCACAAGGTTTTTAACCCTTCTTTCATTAATGTGCTACAGATTATTTTAGAAGGCTTTTAATTAACTCAAAATCGTGACTTAGGTTAAAGGAACACAATGTTGAAAATGAGAGCTCTATTAAATCAAGGTTGACATATAGACAATGAAGTAAGAGTCTAAAATTATTGTAGGATCTTTTATTAACGGAATCATGTTTAGTCAACAAAGGGATTTGAGGTTAACTCAATTTTCAAGAGCTCTAAATCAAAAGGATTTTTTCTGCCCGTGAGTAGGGTCACAACTGACAGTTTGCCAAGTTGTTGATACAAATGTCTGGTTCTACAGATAGGCCGTTTTAGAAAAACCGCATCCATGAAAGAGAGCCGTTGGAAAGTGTAATACATTGCAGTTAGGAGAAGATGTCACCTCCCCACCTCCAGGAGCGGCACTGCCTCCTGACTCCCCCGAGGCCGGCAGGAAGAAGTCCTGGAACAGTAAGAGAAAGGAGTGGAAAGGCACCCAGCACTCAGCCCGGCGCCCTCCTCTGCCTGCCTGTCACTGTAGGTGTCAGGCTAGCACATTTCTGGCCGGGTTCGGGTCTACCCTGGAAAATATACATCTCGCGGAAATGCAAACAAGCTTGTGTTTCCTTATGCACAAAAATGAATGGCTTCCGTCAAGGTAGATCATTTTTCAAAAACCAAATACATGTTGTGATGAGTAATGACTTAAAGAGATTGTTGATCATTGTTCTTCCGGTTCTGGATATTAGCCCCGCGTTTTGTAGTCACTATAATACAGTGTGACATAATATCTCATTCACAATCCACTTGCAGATTCAATGGATGTAATAAGTAGGCCAGAATGAGCACAAAATTAGCCTACCAAGAAAAATCTTCCTAAAAAACCAATTTATCTACAATATTTAAGAAGCGATCAGATGGCTACAAGTGTTACTTCCATGGGAAATTAATGAGTGATTTGATCACTTATTAACGAAAACATCATTTTAGACATATGTTTTTGCTCTATTTTTAAGGATGAGTTTCCCCAATAGAAATATGACAAAAGAAAAACACAGGGCATCAGAGCCAGACTATCTGGGTTTAAGTATAGTTGTGCCTTTCACTAATTGTGTAACCTGGGCAAATAATTTCGCTCCATAAACCCGTGTTCTCATCCGTAACATGGTCACTACAGAGTTGTTAGGAAGATTACATGGACTGGGGCATGTCGAATGGCCAAGATAACAGACGAGCAGAACATGGTATTTCTGATTCTTTTCTAGTAAAACAGCATTATCTACCACTCTGGAGGACAGCAGGGTGATTCTGAGCAGGGACTCTGAGGCTACGCTTACCTGGGTTGACTCCTGGCTCCACTCTCTCACCAGCTGTGTGACCGAGGATTTAAACCCTCCAGGCCTCAGTTTTGTCACCTGCGAAATGGGCATAATGAAAACACCTTCTTCACAGGGTGGTATTGAGACTTAAATGAGTTTGTTGAGGTAAAATGCTTAGCGCGGTGCCCGGCACGCAGAAATACTATGGAAGTGTTCGCTGGGATTATAATAAGACGCTCATCGTCGATTGTATTGGCACATCTCAGAGTTGCTTACATCCTAATGACAGCTGTGATCGATAATATGCGGATGGGTGTCACTTTCTGAATCGAATGCCAGGACTGTAGCGAAGAGGGCACGCATTGCCTCGTGGCCCTCTTCTGTGAGCGCGCCGAAAGCAGCCAGCTTTGCAGTTTCTTGCTCTGGGCGAAGGGAGAAAGGAACATTACATCCCCCATGGGGGCCACGCGCCCCCACTCAGCCATTGCTTTAATGAACACCAGTATTTTTCAGTTCCACTGTAAATGCTGTTTATAGTGAAAACCATATTTTAACGACATTAAAGGTTTTTTTTTTTTTTAATGAAAAATGAATCATGCTACAGACACAAAAACTGATGTCATCGCTTCCATTTTCCTCTAACGTTTGTTTCGGTGTGTGTTTACCCAGTGGCCATTGTATACATACAATTTTATACTCTGTTTGTTGGGATCAATAACCTGTTCCCCTGACTTTATAATTATTATTATCGACGGCTGCACAGTCAAGTTGAGAGGCCATAATTATTCCGTTTTTGAAAATCAAAATGCCCACGTGTTACATGCTGTCGGAGAACTCCACATGTGAGTGATAGTAAAGAAATTATAAAAGAAAAGGCAATCAAGACTTAAATGCCATTATGGCAGGAGGGAAGAGGAGGGGACGAGCATTTGATTGCCTAAGAGCTGTGAAATCCTATAATTTGATTTTGCAAAAGACTTCTGCCCCAAATGTTTTCTTTAACAGATCTATTTTTACATTTAAGAGAATTAAAAAGAAGTCGCATGTGACGGGCACATAGAGGCTCATTATCCCATCGTCTCCTCTTGTATATGCTCAAAACTTTCTGTAATTAAAAAGGTTGAAAAAAAGAATGTGCTTATAAACGATTTTCCCTTCGCCCTTGGAAATAGTTTGAAGAGTCTCTTGGTGAGCAAACCGCCACTAGCCCCCGTGGCAACTTGGTGAGAATTTTCAAAGCCCTTTTTCCTCAACAGCCCCCCTCTTCCAGGCAATTGTAGGGGTTTGCACGCCTGCAGCGTCTACGCTGGGCATAGCGCTTCCTTGGATGTGACATCTCGCGCTACCCACAGCTTCCCACCATCCACAGAGGCCCCGCTTGGGTATCATTAAACTGCTGTTAAGAACATCATCTTCTAGAAGGTGAGGCAGGGAGCGGAGGCATGGGGTGCAGGCTGCGGCTGTTTCATCATCTGTGGCCTGGACTGGGAAGGGAGTGACCAGCCATAAGTGATGGTACGACAGGCCATGCCCTGCCCACCTCACCTTGGGCTGAGATCGTTGGACCTGCCGAAGACGCCCGGCCTGGACACTGCAGAAATTCGAGGATGCTGAGGCCTGAATCATAATTGGGGAATGGACAGTCAAGGAAAACCAGACATATGAGGAAAACCAGCAACACACAATTAATACTAATTACCATGATCATAATCATCGTTGCTAACATTTATTGGATGCTTACGCCATGCCAGGGGAGCTTTGAATCATTCTGCATATATTAAGTCACTTAATCTTTACAAGTCGATTTCACAGGGAGGAAACAAAGGCATAGAGAGCTATAGCTTTTCACTTTGTTTGGAAAAATAACCACATGAAAGAAACTTTGGGGAAAATAAAAGAAAACGTGATTACCCCGACTTCTATCCCTCTCACCGAACATTATCATTTTCCGAGATCACTTTTTGTTCACAGTCAGCTTGCTTTTTATTTGTTTATTTTATTACTATTATTTTCTTAATTATCTCTACACTTAACGTGGGAACCCATGACCCCGAGATCGAGTCACATGCTCTCCCGGCTGAGCCAGCCAGGTGCTGCCCCACCGACCTGTGTTTTAAAATAACTTTAGTCTTTTTATAAAACTGGTGCATGCTCCTAAAAAAAGCTCCAAGAAATAAAAAAAAAAAAAAGTCCAGATAAGAACAAAATAGAGAGTTGATATTTAAGACCAGAATGCTGCTTGCATCATGTGACCCTAGTTACTGGTGTGTCTATTGTTAAAGTGTGAGTCACTCGAGCAAAATATTACGCCGTGGAACTTGGATGTTTTTGCTAACTACTGAGGAAAGGCAAACTTAAAAGTTTGTGTTCTGAGGTAATGGATACCCGAGGTACCAAAACTTCTATCAGTTCTCAGATGATACGACTTTTTCTAGAATCAAAAAAGAAAGTCCTTTGTAGAAGACATTGGACACAGTAAATTCTTGTTGATTAGAGAACAACAATAAATTCTTGTTTTCTGTTCATTAGAGACCTGAGGCTTTCACCACGAGACCAAAAGCTCTAGATGGCTGCTGCCTGGCTTATAAGCATTCTGAGGGAATAAGGTAATGCTTTTCTTAGCATATTGTTGTCTTATATATAACTCCCGGAAAAAGTTTTGTTGTTCGGATTTTTGTGAAGGGCTTGAGGCTGAAAAGAATCTGTGGAGAAAGGACCTTGAAGGACCTTTCAAGGCTGAAGGGACCTTGTATACTGTCCAGTTTACCACGTATGTTTGGAGATAAGGAAAGAGGCCAGGGAGGTTGAGGAAGGTGACAAAAGTCAAACTGAACTGAGACCAGAATCCAAGTTTCTTGATCTGTAGTCTTTGGGGACATTTATTCCTCTTTGCGTCTTGAAAAAACGGGGCGAGAAAAAGAGGTAGGCCGTTGAAATAAAAGCCCCAAACGGGCCATTTTATTTGTTGGTCAGAGAGTAAAGTCTTCTGGAAAGTTCCCTAACTTCTAATAAAGTGAGGCAGATTTCCAGGATTCGACAAGTGGCTACATAAGACTCTCGCTGAAAGATTTCAGAGAGCACCACCTTGTCCTTTTATTTTATTTTATTTTTTTCAGATTTATTTACTTTTGGGACTGAGAGGGCAGAGCATGTGAGCAGGAGGGGCAGAGAGAGGAGGCTGGGAGTCGAGCAGGCTCAGGCTCTGAGCATCAGCCAAGTGACAGCAGGGGCTGAGACTCCGGGACCCTTGAGCCCACCTGGCTGAAGTCCCGGACTTAACTAAGCCACCCAGGCAACCCCACCACCTTGTCACCTTTTAAACATGACATTAGCAGATTTCAAAAGCACATCCCATATCGACCCTGAGAGGCAGTTCTTATTTATGCCAGAGGAGAGCGAAAGGAGAGGCCTGTGTCCTGAGATGCCCCCTATCCACCTGTACCTAAGCTCAGTGAGGCCAAAGAGTCTAATAAGTCCCTAGGTCGGCCTTGGGCCAGCCCTGAAAGATGTTATGCAGGTGGTGATAATGATATGTAGAGCCTGGGTGGCTGATGCGGTTAAGCGTCCGACTTCAGCGGGTCGATCTGGCGGTCCGTGTGATTTGGCTTGGCGACCGAGCTCTGGGCTGATAACTCAGAAACCTGAGAACCATTTCGATCTGTAATCTTTCTCCTCGCCCTCGCCGATTCATCTCTATCTCTAAATAACGTTAAAATAAAAAAAAATAATAATACGCCCTTTTAGTTTGGCGAGCTCATCCTGTGATCCTGTTGAAATCTGCAGAGGTTTTTTTTTTTAATTTTTTTTAATATTTATTTATTATTTTTTTTTAATTTTTTTTTTCAAGCGTTTATTTATTTTTGCGACAGAGAGGCAGAGCGCCAGGCAGGGAGGAGGCAGAGAGAGAGGGAGACACAGAATGGAGAGCAGGCTCGGGCTCGGGCCATCAACTGAGCCTGAAGCCGAGGGCTGAACTCACAGGACCATGAGATCGTGACCTGGCTGAAGTGGGGACCTTAACAGCCTGCATGCCCAAGCCCCTATTTATTTATTTCTGACAGAGAGAGACAGAGCATGAGCAGGGGAGGTCAGAGAGAGAGGGAACACAGAGATCTGAAGCAGACTTCAGGCTCTGAGCAGTCAAGCACAAGTGAACTCAGAACTCACATACCATGAGATGGTGACCTGGTGATCGGACGGCTTAACCAACTGAGACACCCAGGCGCCCCAAAATCTGCAGAGGTTTTAAATGAGTAGAGGGCTGCTCCCGAAAGCCCCACCATGGTTCTCCCTTGGGGCCCAAGGGCCAGATACTTTAAGGGGGTGCTCCAGTCCTAGCCAGCCACAACCCTAAGCCCACTAATGTTTTCGCAGGCTTACTAGAAGAGCATCAGGCACCAGATTCAAAGAATGGAGAAGCCCCCGAGAGACACACTACTGCACAGTGGACAACATTATTGAGTTCTGGAACGTAGAAATGTTTCCAGTGGCCTTGAGGCTTGCTGTGTTTGGCATCTTCATCATTGTGTTATTTGTCTACATAACGGTGGAAAGGAAGCCGTTCTTTGGTTAAGTGCTTTAGGACAGAGCAATGAGTGAGCACCTGAGTATCGGAAAGGAAAGACGTCTCCAAAGGGGGATGCCGGGCCCCATGGCCTGCTAGCCTTGCGCTATGGTGCCCTCACAGATCTGTACCCAGGCTCATCATTTCGAAGCTGAAGGGGACTTATGTACTCTCTAGTTCACCACTTATGTTTCAAGAGAAGGAAACAGGCCAGGGAGGTTGAGGGAAGTGCAAAAAGTCACAATGAACGGAGACCAGAATCCAAGGCGGGAAGGGAGGAGGGAGAGAACCAGGCACTTGTGTGAAAAAGCGTAATGACAGGGACTTCCCCGATGATGGCCATCATTAAATGCTTCCGCAGTTGGCATACTTCTAAAGAGGAAACTGTGCCTGGTGTTGTTGTTGTTGTTTAATGTTTTATTTATTTTTAAGACAGAGAGAGACAGAGCATGAGTGGGGAGGGGCAGAGAGAGGGAGACACAGAATTGGAAGCAGGCTCCAGGCTCTGAGCTGTCAGCACAGGGCCCAATGCGGGGCTCAAACTCACGAACCGCGAGATCATGACCTGATCCGAAGTTGGACGCTTAACCGACTGAGCCATCCAGGTGCCCCTGGTGCTTTTCTTTTCAACTATGGTGATAAGCCATAGGTCCCACTTGATTCCAAAGGCCACAACAGGTAATTAACAAAAAAGGAAATGTGTCTGGTTTGGCAAACATCAAACGGTTTAGAACAAGATAGCTTTTCCGCCATTGGAACGTAGCAAGATTTGAAAAAATTAATGCCCGATGAGGGAATGTTATGATCGTGGCCTCTGGGAGAAGGGCAGGGCTGGGTAGGTACCTGGCTCTTCTGTTTATTGGCTCTGTGACCCTGGGTGAGTTAGTTGTCTGAGCTTTAGTTTTCTTTCTTTCTTTCTTCTTTCTTTCTTTCTTTCTTTAAAGACTTTCAGACTATTTATTTTTTATTTTTTTTAACGCTCATTCTTTTTCGAGGGACAGAAAGAGACAGAGCACAAGCAGGGGTGGGGCAGAGAGAGAGGGAGACACAGAATCTGAAGCAGGATCCTGGCTCTGAGCTGTCAGCACAGAACCTGATGCAGGGCTCAAACCCACAAAGCTGTGAGCTTTAGTTTCAACTTCTGAAGATAGGAATAGAATAGACCTCTTAGGGGGATGAAGAATGTGAAGAAATAATGCTTACAAAGTACTTAGTGTGGTCCACAACTGATTGGTAGTAAGCTTTCAAGAAATGCTCAAGCAATGTTCACTTTGGGACAATATTTCTACTCCCTGGAGGAGCTAATTCTAGGTACAGACAAGTCTTTTCCCTCCCTGTTTAAATGTTTTTATTTAGGGGAGCCTGGGTGGCTCCGTCAGTTAGGCATCCAGCTTCTGCTCAGGTCATGATCTCATGGTTCATGGGTTCAAGCCCTGCATCGGGCTCTGTGCTGACAGCTCAGAGCCTGGAGCCTGCTTCTGATTCTCTGTTTCCCTCTCTCTCTGCCCCTCCCCCGCTCATGCTCTGTCTTTCTCTCTCTCTCAAAAATAAACATTAAAAATTTTTTTTTAATTTAAATTCCAGTTACTATACAGTGCAATATTAGTTTCAGGAGTACAGTACAGTGATTCAATATTTCCATGCAACACCCAGTCCTCATCCCAAGTGCACTCCTTAATCCCCATCACCTATTTTACCCATCTCCCCACCCATCAGTTTGATTTCTATAGTTAAGAGTGAGAAGTACTTCTTTTTTTTAAGTGAAGTCTACATGCACTGTGGGGCTCGAACTCATGACCCCGAGATTAAGAGTCACATGCTCTACTGACTGAGCCAGCCGGGTGTCCCTAGAGAAGTCTTAAGTACAAAGAAGTTGAATGTAGCAATTTTTATGGTGACCAAAATGTAGAACCAGCCCATATATCCAACAATAGGGGAATAGTCTGATAAATTGAAGTACATCCTCTTGATAGATAATTATATAATAATTAAAAATACTAACAAAAGGGGCGCCTGGGTGGCGCAGTCGGTTAAGCGTCCGACTTCAGCCAGGTCACGATCTCGCGGTCTGTGAGTTCGAGCCCCGCGTCGGGCTCTGGGCTGATGGCTCAGAGCCTGGAGCCTGTTTCTGATTCTGTGTCTCCCTCTCTCTCTGCCCCTCCCCCGTTCATGCTCTGTCTCTCTCTGTCCCAAAAATAAACGTTGAAAAAAAAAAAAAAATTAAAAAAAAAAAAAATACTAACAATGAATTTATCACAACAGAATATGCTTATTTATAAAAATTTAATAACAACTTCATTGAGATATAATTTATATGCCATACAATTCACCTAAAGCGTACAATGATTTTTAATATATTCATATTTAGAATATTTTCATCGCTGCTAATTTACTTCTTTTTTTTTTTTAAGTAAACTCTATGCCCAACATGGAGCTCAAACTCCTGATCCCAAGGTCAAGGGTTACATGCTCTACTGACTGAGCCAGTCAGATGTCCCACCTGTAATTTACTTAAAATTAAAGAAAAAAAATTTTTAATTCGTTTTTTTCTTTTTCTTTTCTTTTTTTTTTTAAGATTTTCTTTATTTTTTAAAGATTTTATTTATCTTTCATTTTTAAAAGATTGATTTATTTAAAAGATTTTAAAAGATAAGTAATCTCCACACCCTACGTGGGGCTTGAACACACAACCCCAGGATCAAGAGTCACACACTTCACTGACTGAGCCAGCCAGGCACCCCTAAACTTACTTTTTTTTATGATGGCACACAAAAAAAGACACAGGTTTGTTATTACCATGTTATCACAACTGTATAAAAAACATCAGAAGAAAATACTTGAAAGTGTTAATAGTACTTCAATGATAGGATTCTCCGACTCTGATTCCCTTTGCCTGATTCCTACTTTTCCACATATCTAAAGATTTCTATAAGCAGGCTAATGAGAGAGAATAAATTTTAATATTTAAAAATGGTACTACCGTTCTACATTTCAACTGCAAGCAACATAAAACTCTGGTGAGGGGGCTTAAACAAGTAAGAATTTTATTTTTATCTCATAGAAAGAAATTTGGAGCTTAAGACATGTAGTATTGTTAAAAATAACCAAATGTGGGGCGCCTGGGTGGCGCAGTCGGTTAAGCGTCCGACTTCAGCCAGGTCACGATCTTGCGGTCCGTGAGTTCGAGCCCCGCGTCGGGCTCTGGGCTGATGGCTCGGAGCCTGGAACCTGTTTCCGATTCTGTGTCTCCCTCTCTCTCTGCCCCTCTCCCGTTCATGCTCTGTCTCTCTCTGTCGCAAAAATAAATAAATGTTGAAAAAAAATTTTTTTTCAAAAAATAACCAAATGTAATACGATTCAGATTCAAATGAACCGACTGTAGAAAAAATTATGATCCCAAAAATCTGAGGGGTGCCTGGGTGGCTCAGTTTGGGTGGCTCAGTCGTTGAGCATCTGACTTTTGATTTCGGCTCAGGTCATGATCCCAGCGTCATGGGATGGAACCCAGAGTCAGGCTTCTTGCTGAGCAAGGAGCCTGCTTAAGATTCTCTCTCTCTCTCTCTCTCTCTCTCTCTCTCCCTCTGCCCCTCTCCCCAGCTCGCGAGCTCTCTCTCTACAAACAAAACAAACAAAAAAGCTTGAAACTGACTAGATATTCAGTGATACTAAAAGATGTGTGGGGCTGCCTGGCTGGCTCAGAAGGTAGAGCATGTAACTCTTGATCTAAGGGTCATGAGTTTGAACCCCACACTGGGTATAGAGATTACTTAACAAGAGAGAGAGAGAAAGATTTGATCTTATTGAGCAGCAGCAGCTATTCTGTGACCATGAGATCAAAAGCATGAGAGGAAGCCTGAGAGAACCCCAGAGGCGTTGGCCTGCCATCTTTGAACTTGGGAAAGTAGTCCTGCAGTTCCCGCCATTGCATTGGCATTGAGGCAGAACTCAAGGGCTAACCACATAGCATCTGTGTTCTGTATTTCATCCAGAACAGTAAGGGAGGCTGGGACAGTGAGGATGTGAAGGTTTAGCGGTCTCTATATGAGACAGACAAGGGAGAAGAGAATTGGCTAGAAGAATAGAAGGGAGCAACCTACAGTGATGGTCACATGCGCTTAAAAAATGACACTTCTTTTTGAATTTAATTTAATTTATTTATTTTGAGACAAAGAGCAAGAGTGTGCCTGCAGGGGAAGGGCAGAGAGAGAGAGGGAGAGAGGGAATTCGAAGCAGGCTCTGCACTATCAGCACGGAGCCCGACTCGGGGCTTGATTCCAAGAACCACAAGGTCATGACCTGAACCCAAATCAAGAATTGGACGCTTAGCTATCTAGGCCACCTAGATGCCCCCCCAAAAGACACTTCTGTTCTTAATATAATTAAGCATTATAAAAACCAAATAAACGTCTTCTAGAAAGGCTGCTTCAGTACTTTCTGGTTTTGCCAGTGTTTATAGATCAGAATCCTGGAATCGCTCGCAGAGACAGCACAGGGCACCTGCTTAGTGCCCTACCGCTCAAGATGTGGGTCCCCGACCAGCAGCATTAGCATCTCAGGACCTACCCTCACCTACCAAGCTGGAACCTGCATTTTCACAGGATCCCAGGATTCCCATGCATATTAAGGTTTAAGAAGCACTCCTGCGGCCCATCCCCATCAGATGCTTATGTAGGAAGAATCCAAATTCAAACCTCAGTCAGGCTGATCCGAAGGGTCAGGCCAGAGGACCCGTGCGGCAGGTCCATTCGGAACCTATGCACTCTGAGGACTGGTTCCCCCTTTGGGAAAAATTCGTCCAAAAGGAAGAGACGCAGGCACACAAGTTTAATTCCGGGAAATGTTTCACTACTCATTCGGCAATTTATTTAGCACCTCGTGCATACTCTCAATAGAATGACAAATAAAATCAATATAAAAAATTGTCCCTGTTCTCTAGGCATATGCGGTCTGGTAGGGATGCCAATGGCTATTACAGAGTTAAGGACAGGGTGCCTCGAGATCGCGTGAGA